CGATTTAATCCCGATCTTTTTATTTTTTGATTCACTGTTTAATCCCGATCTCTTTAATTTAAAATCGTAGTTTAATCTCGATTGTTATTGTTATCTTCTGATTCATGGTTTAATCCTGGTCTCTTCGTTTCTGACTTTTAATTCAATCCAAGTTCAATCCGGATCTTGTTATTCTTTGACTCATGGTGTCGTCCCGATCACTTTTTTATTATTCGACTTTAGGTGTTGCCTTAATCGATTCTTTATTTTTCAATTCACGATGTCGCTTTCTTTATCACTTGACCTGACCTGTAAAAAAAAAATTTCATGATTTGCTTTCGGATAAAATTGTTGTCTTTATCTTTGTCCTATTCCTGATTATCAGTAATATGCAAAGAGGGATAACTGTAGACACCGATTTTGTCCGGGTCTATTGTTTCCATTTTAGTATATTAATATTAATATTAATAATAATAATAATAAATATTTAAAATATATAATAATTAAAAAAATTAAAAAATAATTAAAAATTAAATTAAATTTTTTTTTAAAAAAAAAGAGAAATGAGACAGAAACCAGGGGTTGGTACACCGCTGCCACTCCTGTCAGCCTCTCGACCAGCCCCCTGTCAGCCTTTTGACTAGCTCCCTGTTCAGCCTACCTACAGCCATCTTACAGCCACCCAAATCCCTCTAATTAAAGCCCTTTAAAATTAACAACCCCTTTCCTCTTCTTCTCTCTCGGCTCTCTAATTGAAAAGAAAAGAAGACCCATTCAATCTACCCACGAAAACCTTCAAGCTTAGACGAACTTTTTCCCCTCTTAAAACACCTTTAACAGTCCCAGACAGACCCCTATTCCCACGCATAAGAAACCAAATTTCACATAACCCCCCCCAAAACACCCAAACCGAAAACGAAATAGATCTACATAAAACATAAAAAAAATAAATGCAGTCCTCCCCGTAGGGAGGAACCCAGTGTCGAGCTACCTGCAAGAAGAAAGATATATCAATTTTTGTTCACAACAAAAAAAAAAGAAAAGATGAGAGATCTAAAACTTTGAAGACAGATTCACGACGGTCAAGCCACTTTCAGGCCAAATGAAGGTCGAATCTGGAAAGAGGCATCAAGAGGAATTTCTGGTGATTTTCTGACCATTTTTCGATCACTAGCGACCACCACCGACGATGACTCACACGACGGTCGACGCAGGCACGGCGTCGAATTTCGACAAAACCCATAGAACCCCAAAACCCTTTTTTTTCTGTGAATGAAACAAACTGAGGCAAAAAAAATCTTATTTTTATAGAAAACGCAAGGGCAAAACGACGTCGTTTTGAGCATAGGACCAAAACGACACCATTTCAAGCGTAAAGGATCTGCGCGTGAACCGAGCCTGACTCGAGATTCGTGTAACCTGACTCGATGGTCCGCTTCAGCCAGCCTTGAACCAGTTCATACGAACCGCCAGTAAATCGATTCGAACCGTCCGATCGTCGAACCGTTGATCGAACTGCCAAACCGATCAGACCGGCCTAGACCAGCATTGATCGAAACGTTCCGGTCAAGTAAAAAAAATTTTTTTTTCTAATTTTTTTATATATTATTATTTTTGTTATTTTATATTTATGCATGATAAATATTTAAATTTATTAGGATAAATATCTAATTGTTATTGATAATAATAAAATGAAAATAATATAAAATAATAACTAAAAAATATATATTTAAAAATATTTAAATAGTAATAATAATGGAATAAGCTTTTTATTTTTCCTGCCTAGATGTTAGAGGGAATAAAAAATATTTTTTCAAACAAATAATTTCGCCTAGATGTTGGGAAATTATTATTAATAAATTTTCATAAAAATATATATATAAGAAATTTTTAATTAGTTTTTAAAAATTATAAAAAATTGAACTTGCTCCGAAAGTCCGCATAAATGATGGAAATTTTTAGAGATGTTCGCGTTTTAATTAAACCACAAACCCTAAACTTAAACCCTAAAATTTTACCTTAAATCTATTTCAAAACTTTAAGGATACGTGTGAAAATCTCACATGAAATGGTTTGTTTTCGAATGCTGCCTAAATGATGAGGTATTCAGGATACTCCATTTCATCAAGTTTTTCACACGAGTTCTTAATTCACATTAATAATAAGATTAATAAATAAAAAGTATAATAAAAAATTGGGATCTTAAATATAAACAGTCGCACCTAAGCTCTGCCTAGATGTTGGAGAGTCGGGGTGCTCTTATTATACTTAAGAATCCAACTCTTAAATTGCATTTCATTGTAAATGACATTTATTAGCATACATAAGTTAGCATGTTATCATCGATAATTGATTGCATTATTCTCTCTTTAATTTGCTGTTCGATGATAAAATATTTTATAATAAAAAAGAATAATACTTTTCAAAAAAAAATTTCTTTGTGATACTATAAAATAAAATAAAAATAATATTTCGAAAGAAATAATTTTTGGTACTCTACCTAGATGTTAGAGAGTCACTAACAATTATTTTTTATAAAGATTGTTATTTCATTTTGAGGATTATTGTATTAAATCTTAAGCGAAACGAGTTATTTTAAATTATGCCTAGATGTTGAGAATTTTAAGATAATTCTTTAACTTAAAGATTTTCTTAATAGTTCTAAATAAAAATTTTTAGCAAAATTTTATTTTTTCAAATGAAGGGAATTAGTGTTAAATTTTAAATTAAAACCATTTTTATTCAATACTGAAAATAGCGCGTAATTAAATGGTACTAATTTATGAGTGTTGTAGGGGTGCTAATCATTCCTCATACGTAACCGACTCCCGAACCCAACCTGATTTTTCGTGGACTGAAATTTATTTTTTTGATAAACTTTAAACCTGTTTTTATAGTTTTATTAAAAAAATAAACTTTTGGATGGTCAATCACATCCTAACAAAGATTGGTGGTGACTCTCCTTTTTATTTTTCTCGATTTTAAAACATCATCTTTCATTTGGCGATCCCAAAACCGTTATGACAAACTACAATTGCCTGCTTTTTACTTTTCTAAGATATCAAGGAATCACATAGAAAAGTACAACAATCAGTTGTAGAATGCCGATCATTAACATCACTAATCCAATCAAGACATGAAGTTCAAGTTTAGAAGTTGATGAGGAAAACAAACCTTTATGCAATGTTCCTTGCAAATATCTCAATATCTTAAGAATTGCAACAAAATGAATCATTTGAGATACTTTAATAAATTGGCTTATAACTTGAACTGCATGACTAATGTCAGGTTTTGTAACTGTCAAATATATAAGGCTACCAACCATTTATATAATGTAGCATCATTGAGAAGTTTTCCACAAGTAGCTTTCATTTTTACATAAATTTCAAGAAAAGTGTCAACAATTTTATTATAAGATAAATCAGCTTTAGAAATAAGATCAGAAACATATTTCATCATATACGAGAAGGAGGAATCAACTTCAATATCTAAAAAATATCGTTATGGACCAAGATCCTTCATTTAATAGGTTTACCAAAATGATTTTTACATTATGAATGCCAAGGCTATCATCTTCAATTATCATTATATCATTAACATAGAGAAGCACTAACACAATACTTCTCTCAAATTGATGAATAAACAGAGTTGAATCATAAGGGCTCTCCACAAACCCAAAGTTAAACATGCTAGTGCTAATCTTCTCAAACCATGCACGTGGCGTTTGTTTAAAGCCATATAAAGTTCATCAAAGCTTGCACACTATATTAGTTTGGCAAGTTAAGCTTAGAGGATGTTTCATATAAACTTATTCAAGAAAATCTCCATTTAAGAATGCATTTCACATCCATTTGTCATACAGAAGTCATTCAAGCCATAAGAGTTAAAGTTTTTTCATAATCAATACCACACTTTTGTGTCAATCTTTTTGCAACCACATGGACTTATATTTTTCAATAGACTCATCTGATTTAGTTTTGATTTCGTATACTCACTTATAATTTACTATAAACTTTTCAAGAAGTAAATCAATAAAATCTCAAATATGAGTTTTTTTCTAAGTGTCTAATTCTTCCCTTATTGTTTCTTGACAAAAAGAATTAGAACTTATTTCACAATAAAATTTACGTTCATAAATAGAAAAATAGTAGATAAGAAATAATCAAAATCATGATAATATTTAAAAAGAATTTACTCATGTGATGAACATCTAAATTTTGAGATAGATGACTCCAATGAATTGAATAATGATGGTACAAAATTGCTTGTGGTAAAGTAAGTGATGGGATAAACTTTATTCGAATAAACATACTCAAAAGAAGAATTTTGAAACACATGAAAAGATTGAATAGCCACTTAAATCAACAAAAAGATTTAATAAAATGGCAAAAGGCCCATGAATATCATTGTTAGATTCCTGAAAATGAGGCAATAAATACATTAAAATATTTTTGCAAAAAATAACATGTAAGGAAAACAGAAGTTTTTTGTGCAATGGGATTATAACAACAATATATTTTTTGTCCAATAGAAGAAGATTTTATATATTACTTGCTTTTTGCATACTCATATGAATATGTCAAAAAATTTTAAAATTAAGCATTTGCATTAAGGGGAGAAAAAAAATGAAGAAAATTAGGCAAAAAAACTCTTTCGTGGAATTCAATTAATGTACTAAGTTGACATTGTAAATCATATAAATTACCATTAAATTGGTGTTTACCAGCTTACTACAAATCAACCTAGTTCTTCACTTCATGTAGTATATAAAGTCATCCAACTTTTAGCAGTATGAAACTTCTTGCTGGTATCCTATCGAAAAAGACCCTCCTTTGGTTTGTTTTTTACCAATTTGTTCCATCTTTTTGGGTTGAGCATTTAGCTGCAAAACCTGCAAATAAACAAGTAGGAGAATATCATCTGTATATACACTTGTCCAAGTAGAATGCTTACCAGTAATTTAAAAAGACCAATAAGGGCAGAGTAGTCATTTCAATAATTAAATTATTTCAATTTGTTTTTTTTTTCTTTTTATACTCTCTTAAATAAGTAGCTAACGCCTCCTGAATTTTCTCGCTAAATCTCAACCAAAAACACCGCTTCTTTGGGTACGTCTTCTCTTACTCTGTATTTTCTTTTTAGATTTCCTTACATTTTCTTCGTACTTTCTATCATTTTCTCATGTCCATAATTTTGATATTGTTTTAAACTCCAGATCACTACTTTTTAACTCAATAATTCAATTGCATTAAGAATAGATACCTTGTTTAATTTGAAATTATATAAATCTATAAGCTCTGCTATTTTCACTTTGATCTGGCTATTCAGTTAATGGGTAGTTCGAATTCACTTAAATTTTTAATTTTTCTGTAAAAAACTTTGTTGGGTACTTTTTTTTTCTGCCTTTTTATGGACCTAGATTTGATGGGTTAGTTGTTAAACCAATTTGCCTAGAAACTGGAGTTTCATGTCATTTGATGATCTTGGTCATTTTAGTGATATTGTCTCTGAGCTAATAGAAAATGGATTTTTTTTTAGATTTTGGAAGGATATTGCTGATATCCAATTAAAAGAGTTAAATTTGTTTTTTTTTTTTTTTTTTCTGTTGGTGGCATTGTTGTAAATTATCTTAATGATCAAATAATGTTAGTCATAAAAGTTTGATGTAAAAAGAATTTGGATATTGAACTTAACGTAGATTGAAGTGCTTGCCTTTGCGTTTATGTCTTTAGCGTGGAAAATGTATTGTATTGCTGCCTTAAATACAAATTTAATCATTGGTAGGCATGAAAATAAGGTCCTTGGATTCTTAAAAGCTTCTTTCAATTTTAATTTTGCTATGGAAAGTGGATCTAAAAATGCCAATTGAAATTGATGAATTTTGAGTAAACTTTTAGTTATTCTATTACGTTGTTCTTATTATTAAGTCGAAGTGGCCAATGGTGACTTTGGATGTTAACAATATTGGAAATGTCAGCATCCTTTCTTGGTTTCCGTAGCATTGATACATAATGAATAATTCTCCCTGATGAACTTTATGAAGTTACTAAGCACACGCACATCTGCTATTTGTTATGCTCTCATGCACACAACAAAATACTTTTATTGGCCATAGAAACCATATATCAGGATGGCATCTTTACCCATGGCATAAACATATTGCCATCCTTTGTCTCTATTGTATTGGAGGATGTGTTTTCCTACTCTAATTCTCATGTCCTTGATCTCTGATTATTCTTTTCTTGATGACAAGCTTCAAAATCTGATAATCTCAATTTTGCTACTTTTTGATGTTATCAATCTTTTCTCGCATGTTATTGTAATAAAATCGATATAATGAATGCCTGTTAGTCTTATTTATAGTAAATATGTTGTTCTTGAGTTAGTCTTAATTACATGCTGTGTGTTAATTCTCTGCCAAACTAAAGTTGATATTATCATACCATGATTCAATGCTATTGAACTGAAGTTTTTAGTTGGCCTTTTGTTGTTCCTATTGTTTTTGTTCTGTTTGTTGTGTGACTTGTTTTTATATCAATCTATACAATTACTAAAGTACTTTTTTTGTAAAAAAAAAAACTTAATTTCAGAGTAACAAAATTCAGCAAGTATGGAAGCCAACAGGGGCCAGAATGGAATTCAACTGCTGCTAGCTGCCGAACAAGAAGCTCAGCACATCGTCAATACTGCAAGAAACGGTAAGCACTCATCTTATTTTCTATATTTCTTATGCCTCAGCTTGTAAAAATTTATGCAATGTTTTTATGGTGTTGCACTGATACAACTTAGTTCAAGAATAATGAGATGTCAGTTTCTTGTTGATTCCCTTTATTTGTTTAGAAGCTATATTTGAGAATTATAGAACATATTTTGGACGCTTGATCTCACTTGATATAGAGGCTTGGTTAAACAATATACTTATGTAAACACGCATACACACACACACACACACACACACACAGGCATTGTGGAAGTTACAGGATAACTTTTTTTTTTGTTATTAGCATAATTTGGAAATTTATACTTAATTAAATTGGTCACAATACTTTCAACAACATGCAGCCTTTCTTCTGTGTCTTTTAGCACCAAATCAGATCACTCCTCTTCCATTGTAATAAAATATTAGGACAATAATGCTTTGCTATGTGGTTATTGCTACTGCCATTTCATGAATACTAAGATGTGAATTAAACATAGAAGAGAAGTTGATTTGACTTTCTTGGTTGCTGTTGTTGTAGTAGTCATTGCCTTTTTGGTGGTCTTGATGTCAAATTGCTCCTGTTTCTTTTTTCAGCAAAAATGGCTAGACTGAAACAGGCCAAGGAAGAGGCAGAGAAAGAGATTGCTGAATATCGTGCTCAAGTGGAGTATGAGTTTCAGAAGAAGGTAGCAGAGGTATGAATTAGTAAATTTAAAAGAAAATTTGATTTTTATCTTTTTGAATGATAGCAATGTGCTGAAAATCTTAGTTATGAGCTTAGATATCTCACAGCTATTATTTAAAGACTGCATTAATTGTGATTTATGTAAGTCTCTGGAATTTATGCATTTTCATTCAAATTCCTATTCTTATCAGTCAAATGCCTTTTTTTTTTTTTTTTGTGCTCGAGTATTATCACAGTTATTACTTTGCTCATTTGCATGTTTCCTTGGTTTCTTTTGCCATTTCTGTGGTATCTGAAATCTTTTTTACAAGATTGAACTCTAGGTGATAGAATTACTTCGAGATTCAAATATCCTTGATTCAAATATGAACTAAAGCACGTTTGTGGATTATTATACAGAGTAGTGGAGACTCGGGGGCTAATGTGAAGCGACTTGAGCAAGAAACAGATGCAAAGATCAATCACTTGAAGAATGAAGCTGCCAGGATATCGCACGATGTTGTACAGATGCTTTTGAAGCATGTGACAACCGTGAGGAACTAGGATCATCTCTAGGGCTGATGGTAAATTGTCCACAACCATCAATGAGGGTTCTTTTTTTTCATCTCAAAACTTAGAGCTCATGCTTGGAAACGATTTTATGTTATTATATCATTTGTCGTTATTTTATTTGTGCCATGCATTTGTTGATCATGTTCCTGTTCTGAAATAAAGTTCAATGTGTGCAGTTTGCCCCAAGAAATCGTTTCTCGTAATATTTATGAATGCAAAACAATAAATTACAAAGGGTTTCCAAATCATTCCCTGGCATTTGTTAATCCATATTTCTTCCACTTTTTTCTAATAGATAAAACGGGGAATGAGTTTATGAATGGAGGATGCAACAAACTTTTTTCTCAACTTCTGCTTTTATATTTTCTGGAAACAGGAGGAAGTTATGGAGCCACCTTTAACATAAATGCCTACATGGACTATTAAATTCAATTGCAACTAGAAAACCCTACCAGTTAATACCACTCCAACTCTTTCACGAGAACAGAAAATTCATCCTAAAAAAAAGAAAAAAACCAAAGGGCATTGACAGTGTAGTTGAATGGGTAGGATCAAATAATAAGTGTGAAATGAAGTTCAAATAGATACTTAGGAATAAATCATACGTATCATTAAGAGAAGCATAAAGTCACGTTTTAAAGGGAAGCAAGTTGGTGTGAACTATAATATTCCAACAAGGTTTATTGAACTTTATTTTGATTGCGTTCGAAAGTCAATCTTATGCGTGGACAGGATCTGATAAATGCCCACTTATATTCTAATTCATCTGATAGACTCCTGCCTTATGGTGGACTAAACTGCCTTTTTGTCTAACAAGTTATTGACCATCAAATAAGAAATCTGTATGTATGCACCAATGAAATACCTAAAAGATGAATGAGTTTCAGCCTGATATAGCTAATGCCAATGGAAAATAACAAGTTAACACCTGCATATACATATATATATATATATATATATATGAGATCATAAAACTCCATTACATGCATTAACAATTAAGTTTTTAAAATATAAAAAAATATATTTGCGAATTTGTCATAAATAATTAAGGAAATTAAAATAAATAAACATGGATCGATTTGTGAAGTTTAAAAAACTGTGCATAGGATAACAATTATTCAGACTTTGAAACAAAAGTCCTATTAATCTTTCAAATGTTGTTGGAAAAGATGTCCTGAAGGAAAACAAAGGAAATGTTGTTAAATTTAGAAGTCAAGATTATGATGCCATTCTCAGTAAATGTCTTCATCACTAGTGGTGCTAAGCTTAGGACCAGTAAGGCTAGTGGCCACACAACATTTTAGCATTGAAAATGCATCTCATTGATATAATGATAAGGATAACAGCACTTGAAAGAAATGTGGAACTTGGCTTTATTTCTCCACTTGGACTACTGAATTCTTTCATAATTTCCACTTTTTAAATGATGACATAGTAAACTTGCTGATCATGAGATGTTTTATTATTTAAAATAATTTTTTTATTTTTGTTTCCAGAGAGGATAAAATCCTATTATAAGGGAGAGGTTTGGTTTCAAACCAAACTTTTATGCCTTTCTAAAGATTTCTGCGGCCATTAAACCAAGAAGCAAAAAATCTTATTTAAAATAGGTGAAGTATAAATATAAGTGTTCGTTAAGCTTAGGCTCAATCTAAATATCTGTCCACCCATTTATGTTTTATATTATTATGTTTATCATTAAAATATTAAAAAATTTATATTAATATTGTAAATATATTTTATAATTAAAATTAAATAAAAATAAATTGTTTAGTAACTATAATAATATTTTTACTTGGACTTGGCTGGGCTCAAGCCTAAAATTTAATGTGCAAAATCGACCCACCCGGTTGTACACATCTCTAATCATAAACCATTTAATTATAAGTTAAATACAAATTAAACATTCATTTTTAAAGGTAGTTGAATGATTTCCTGAAGTTTGAAACAATAACAAAATGGATCTTCTTGTCCTTTCAAAAACTAGCTAGAGGCTTGCAAACTCTTCCAATATTAGGTAAAATTTGATAATTAAACATCTATCATCCTCAGAATTAACACAAATAAATTTTTTTTTTTTAAATTGTAAGGGATAAGAGGTTCAAAAATAAATTAGAGAAATTTAAAAAATTACAAAACGAAAGAAAACTACACAAATTTAATTATTTTAGAAGTGATTTAAAAAAAAAAAAAAGAGAATTCAACATGCACTATACTACAAAAAGTCAATTATTTTAAATAAGTTAGAGCTTAATTGGTAGCAAAATATGAACCATAAAAGGTCCTTTCACTTATCTAGATTAACCCCATTCTACATTTGGTGCTATAGATTTATTCAAGATTTGTTTTCATAGCTTTGAAAGAATTGCGATTGAAAGAACAATCAAGGCATGAAATATACAGGTGGCTAAATGCGTTTCAAGGATAACAAATTTTGATAAAAATAAAATAAAATATATATTTTTTGAAAGGGAAATAAAACAACATATATTGAATAAATACTACTAGGAAATATTTCCTATATATATATAGTAATTCAAAGGTATTGAGAAAATATGGATTGGACTTTATTAAAGGAAAGGATTATTTGAATATGTCAAATGTTTTTTTTTTTTTTTAAATAAAATTAGAGCATCGAAGAGTACTTCACGTCACGAATACTCCATCTCGTACCGAAGAACCCAAAAGTTCTACACTGTTCCACGTACTAAATTTTGTTATGGCTTTCACTTGAAATTACTTCGTATACCCAATTAGCCTTCTGTAAGTTATATTAAATTACTAATTCAATAGAAAAACAAACCCTATATGTTTTTTTTTTTTTTTAAATATACCCGTGAAAAATAATCTAAAATAAAATATAAAATCAATAATTATGTAATTAATTAATAAATTATTAACTTTTTAATTTTAATGACCAAAATTTAATTTCTAACATTACCAAACACCAAAAACAAATAAAAAACATAAAAAACATAAAAAATCTTGCTTATTAAAAGTGTAAAGTGGAAGAACTACTTCTTTCTAATCTAAATTTTCAACTAAAAAAAAAGTGAATTGAGCTTAACTCAAGTAATAAAATGAGATGCCATATATTGGCTAAAATTTTTATAATATTCAAGTTTTGGGCCTTTTTTTTGTATAAAAACAAGTAAACAAATAAAAATTTTGCATGAAATAATTTGAATAATTATTGAAATTATCCTAATTATCATTTTTTATTCATATAAACTACAATAAAGAGCTGATCTTTACCAATAAAACTATTATTTAACAATATAATTTTTTTTTGCAAAGGAAAATATAATTTTTTCACTAAAAATATATGTTTGTTTGTTAAGTACAGTTCAATAAAAATAAAAGTTATAAATAAAACTATATTTAACAAGATGTGAATCATTACTACAATAAAACGGTCAAGTAAATAGTACAAAAATTTTTATGAACTTTGGTCAACTTTGTTGACCAAACTTGTCCCACTAAGTAGTAATAATCCTATCCACTATTTTTCACGACATTGTAAAACAGTTAAAACCTAAAAAAATTTTATTTTCCACCGTCACAGCCTTCGAAAATTGACCCACATTGTTTTTTTAATCCAAAATGGAACCAACATTTTTACCCAAAGGGCAAATTTGTCCACGAGATATATATTTTTGGCCATAATTAGTGGTGCTCCGCCATTCTTTGGCCGCAGGTGTGGCGCCTTGGCCCCACGTGGTTAACGACAAGCGCGGGAGATTAAAAATAAGAAAAAAACCAAAAAAAAAAAGAGATTATTCTTTTACTTATTTTGACCGTTCAGCATGAACCAATGATAAGGAAGCAATTTCCAACGTCCGATCAAACACCAACAAACAATTATAACCGTCGGTTACGCATTGGCGATTTTTAAAACGGTAAATGCGGTTTTATAAAAAAAGAATAAAATAAATAAAAAGGAAAATGGTTGTTTTTGGGTGAGTTTTATTAAAAAGGCTCAAATAAACAGGTATCCTCTGAAAGCAAACTGCTGCTGTTGTTCTTGCCTTTGCTCTCCTTTTCGCGTTTCTGGGTTCTTTTCTTTGTCTTCTTTTGGGGTTTTGGCCTTTTTTTTTTTTGGTTAAGGGTTTTTGGATTTCTCTGATGGTTAGTTAAGAAAACAAAAAACAAATTGATGGATAAATACAATTCGCAACTCGTAGGCAAAGGCGGCGTGAATTTGAAGAAGAATTTGGAGAGTTTTGCTTTTTTCTTTTTTTAATGATGATAATGATTGAGCAATGGGGAGTGATTTTCCATTTTGAAGCTGATAAATGTTTGTTGAACATTCTTGTCAAATAAGGTGACGCTTTGAAAAATCTTCATCTATATTGTCACTATTATTTATTAGTATTATTGTTTGAAGCTAAACTCATCAAATTTCCATTTGGCAGAAAGATTTTCCATGTGGGAGAGGACGTGAATGGCAAGGTAGTAGAAAAAACAATAACTGCTTTTAGTAAAAAGTAAACAAACGAAAAGGAAGGAATCCCAGTTTTGAGTATGCAAAGAATATCGAATTCCTAAAAATAAGAGATTTTCCTTTGTTTTTTTAGGTTTTGGGTTATTGGTGTTTGATTAATTCGCCACAGAAAAAGTTAATAATGTCGTCGAATACTTCATCAGAGACGCAAGAACCGAGCATCGACACTGATAAGTTGAGTTACGAAATCTTTTCCATTCTGGAAAGTAAATTTTTGTTTGGGTATGATGATCATCAGAAGCTATGGATTCCGAAACCGATCTCTCCGCCTTCTGAACCGAAGGTTGAGCCGTTGATTCAACCGGGTGATGAGAATTCCCCGTCAGCTATCAAGAACCAGAGGGGTAAAATCTGTATTTTGAGTATCGATAGCGGTGGCATGAGAGGGATTCTTTGTGGGAAAGCTTTGGCTTATCTTGAACACGCCTTGAAATCCAAGTCAGGTAATCCGAATGCTCGAATCGCCGATTTTTTTGACGTCGCCACCGGTTCTGGTGTTGGTGGTATCTTCACCGCCATGCTTTTCGCCACCAAAGATGATAACCGGCCGATTTTTACCGCTGAGGAGACGTGGCGGTTCCTTGCAGAAAATGGGAAGCGGATATACCGGTCCAGTCCGGGTAAAAACGGCGGTATTTTGAAAAAGATTATGAAAAACGGTTCGACCGGATCCAGATCAACC